CCCGGTGTTCTAAAAGTATTAGCATTGGATATGAAACAATGACTAATTTTCAGACGTTTACTTTTAAACTTAGGGTCAAGGGGTAGGACACTTGTCACTATTGCTTGAATGTCACTTTGAGAAGCAGCAGCTGCTTACTCTACAGTATGTACAAGTTACCTTTGAAGCCAACACTTATTTTATTACTCATGGTGTACCCTTTTTTTCCTGACAAATGAAAATTTGGTGTATGGGTGGGGATAATTTCCAGCAGGTTGCCAAAGAAGATGGTTTACAGCGGGGAACGGAGAAAACAAGACAACAAAAATGAAACAAAGGGAAAAATCCTTTATGCACACATTGCTCTTCAGCCGCTCTCATCAGAACTTAAAAGCGCGGTTCTTGAGCTGGAAGCCATCGCTTCTTGGTACTGGCCTGAAGCAGAGAAACCTTTGGTTCCTATCATCTCAGTTCAAGTCTGACTTAGCTTCAGCGTGTGGCGGCCTGAGAGGGTAGCATTTCAGAAACAACAGGGCAGGCCGACTTATGATGAAGGGCAGGAATTAGCCAGAAAAAAAGGGGGGGAAGGGTACTCCAAGCAGGGGGACAGCGCCGGCAAAGGCACAGACACAGGGTGTGTCCTGGGCACTATAAATTCTAGCAGCAAGGTTACAGGGTCAAGGAAGGCGGTGGTGAGAGGCATCCAGGAGCGTTTGAGTGGGAGCTTGTTCCCTGGCATCTGGGGCAAATAAACTCTTAAAAAAAAGAGAAGTCCAAATCTGTGGAGAATTTTTATAGGTGTTTATTTGAGCCAAAGCTGGGGACAACTGCCAGGAAGCGAGATCTCCAGTGCTCTGGAAAATGACAGCTTTGCAGTTTCTGTGATGCATTCGAAACTAAGGGGGGAACTGAGGAAGATTCTGTGAAGGTGGGGGGACAGCAAGGTGGCGCTGGGTACAGGAGAGTTAGCAAGATTATGTGCTCTCTGGAGGGTGGCTACCTAGATATTCAAAGGCGTGTTAACCTAGATGCACCAAAAAAAAAAAAAAAAAAAAAGGACAGGGCCTGCTTAAGGCAAAGATGGACCTTTTACTAAATAAGTTACAGACCCTGGCCAGGTAGCTCAGTTGGTTAGAGGGTCGTCGGGATACGCCAAGGCTGTGGGTTTGATCCCCGGCCTGGGCACGGAGATGAAGCAGTCAATGATGCATAAGTAAGGGGAACAACAGATCGCTGTTTCCCTCCCCCCCTCCACTCACTCTCTAACATCGAGTGAAAACGAAAAGTTACGTGCCTGAGCATGACTAGCCACCTTCACCTGTCCAGCTCAGATAGGAATTTATGATTAGATAACCCTGCGAAGCTTCGTCCCGTAGAACTCCTTTTTGCCCACGGGAGACCGGGCTGGAGAGGTAAGCAAGCCAGGGCTGGACGGTGGGGACTGTAAACTGACTTTCTCTGGAGGGCAATGGGGAGCCATTCGGAGGTTTCCCTGATGAACCTGCAAATTTTCTAGAAAAGTCAGCCCTGTCCCGCGGCCTGGCCTGGAAAGGCAGGCGGTCCGCACTTACGCTGTGTGGAAAGAACCCCCTTGGAGGCCAAAGGAAAGCAGAGGGACCTTGCTGAGTGTCCAAGGAGAGAGGCCCTTTGGCTGGAAGTTGGGGAGAGGGAGGAACCCTCTTACCCTGCCGCGAGAAGGGGCCCCATAGCCAGGCGAGAGAGGAGGGTCAGGAAAGCTGAGGCAAAGCGCCCCTTATGCCTTTTTCCCCCCTAAATACTAAACAAAGCGGCTGTGTTCAGTGGCCTCTCAGGAAGACCAGTCATTTCCTGAGGAGATATCAGGCCAGCCCAGGCATTGTTCCCAGTTTCCAGCAATGGCCACCATTACCTGACCAGCACCACAGCCCGTCTTTCTGCTGCTCTGGGAGAAATTACCAGAGTGGTCTTTCTGCTTTTCACAGGGCAGGTTCTCATCTGCAGTGCGTGGGAAGCGTCTTCTGCCCCAGGAGCATGGCCCAAAGGCAGCACTAACTGCCCTGAGTCTTGCTTTCGAGATGCTGCTGGAGCTGACTAAAGAGGGCAAGATGTGGCTGGGAGCCCTGCTGGCGCTTCTGCTCTGTGAGTTTGACTCTCTTTCTACATCACTTACACATCATGAGAGTGGAAGCGAGGGAAGTCACCATATTTCTTCTGTCTTTTCCAGGTTCAAGCCTCGAGGGTCAAGAAAACTGTAAGTTGTCAAGTTTCTACGTAGGTTCATAGTGTCTTTCTGAGGTTCTTAACACTCGTGTCAAATTGCCTGTGTTAATTAATGTCCATAACTATTGAGAAAATATATTCCAATTGAGAGCAGACGTTAATTGCCTTCTGGCATTTTTAGAAGGTTTGGGGGGGGGGAATCCACTTTTCCGAAGCCAAGCTCTAATTAGCATGTTCTAGAAGTAGCAGATATTTCCTGGATCCTAGTGAACTGCTGTATGTTAGGTTTGGGGAGGTGATAAAAACCAAACAAATTGAGTGACTGCATAATCTGTTTCTTGTTCTACCATACATTTCTCGTTTTCATATTCTACCCCCTTCCCTTTTTTTGATTCACACATGAAATGTAATCGGTTTGTTAGATTCATGAAGACAGAAAATAGTTTAAATTGTTACGACTTTTTTCTCCTAAATGATCTAAAACATACTGGATTTCATTTCCCATCCACCCATGAGGCGATACTGTGTGCTTGTGCTCAGGGAGGGGCTCATCCTTGAGGTCTGGTTTATCATCCGCTTTGGAGTTAATTTTGAATCTTTAAGATAAGCGGGTGTGGTTTTGCTTCAGCTGGGACCCCGTGAAGGAGAGGGCTTGGCTGGGTCCCGGGTCTTAGCGGAGGGAGAGCCCGCAGAGCAGGATCCTACGTCCGTGATCACTTTGGTCTGCAAAGAATGGGGGTGAGGGGCTGTAGACAGTTGTACAGCTCTCTGGAGATGATGAACTCGGATGATCCGGGTCTGTCGAGCCAGGGTTCAGAGCAGGGGCTCCAGGACAAGGAGGGCTAGTGTGGCTACTAGCAAAGCCAGTCTGCAGGCCTCCCGATCAACTGCTGTGCTCCAGCAGGCTTCTGATCCCCGTGGCAACCCAGGGGGGCAGATATCCATGATCATCCCAATCACCCCAACTCACTAATGGTGTCAGTGCATCTGTGTGGGTGGTGGGGAAGGGAAAGGGAAAGAGAAAGGGAACGGTGAGGGCATGCTCGGGGCAGGGAGAGCTGGAAGGGAGAGCATGCTGGGTCCCCAGGCCTAAGGGTTTTAAGGGTGAAGATTTTAGGGGAGGTCCCAGGGGAAGATCTCATTAGAATATTCTGGAGTTTTCCAGGTCCTTTCAGAGTTGTGGTCTCCTCTGATTGATTGGCCGGGGGCCAGGGCAGGGGGTCATTATCCAGTACAGTTGGTCCTGAGGTCAGCCAGGGGCCGCTGGTCTGGTTTGGCTGCTTTTCTGGGCCTGAGGTCTAAATGTTTATCTCTAGGGAGGAGAGGTCAAGGGGTCCCAACCGCTGGGGGAGGAAAGGCCACCCTGGGGACCAGGTCCCATCCTACAATTGCCTTTTGCTAGGCACCGGGGGCTCTCTGCCCTGGTGACCTCCTGTGCCTGGCGCATGTCCTTGCTCTGCTGGCGTCCGTCCCTCTGCGGACCACACCGCCCTGCTCCCCGCGCCCCGGGCGCGGTGCTGGGTCAGCCTCGGTCCC